GAGAGAGAGAGAGAGAGAGAGAGAGAGAGAGAGAGAGAGAGAGAGAGAGAAGATGGGCAAGGCGCACCTTTTAAAAGGGAACATAGTGCATGTGCATAGGAGGTGCTCTTAGTGGCTGCGGATGAAGACCTAGCTTGTCAGGACACCAAGTATAGGCCAGTACATCTGAATACTAACTGCCACCCCTTCACCAATCCCTCCAAATACCTCCATTCTGAGCTACTGTCTCATCCCTCTTTACCTTCCTGGCCTCTTTGTTCTGCCCCACAGGTGAGCAGGTCTGGGTGATCAGTGAACCCTATACATGAGAAAGAGACTCTTCAGGAAGCACCTGGATTTCTAACACAGTACTGTACTCAGTGGATGAAGAGAGGAATCTAGAAGTGTTCCCCCAATTGTCAGGCAGGGTCAGAATACTGAGAACATTTAGGAATCATTTTCAGTTATTGTGACTTGAATCCCACTTCCAGTCACAGACAGTCAAATCTCAGCTGCAGAAATGGAACGGAAAGATTGGGATGAGAATATCACACACTAGTGACATCCTGAGTTTATCATAAACCCAAGATGATAGAAGTCACAGCTCTCAAAGGCACAAGTGCTTTCAGAGTAAGAGAAAGACACTCTGAAGGAGAGCACTCTGAGGAGGAGCAAGGGAGACTGCATGCAAGCAATTCTTACCCACAGCAATCAGACTGCTGCAATTCTGCAACATCAAGTCTCTGAACAAAGCTCCCTGAGCAGGTTCAGGCACTGCCTCTCCTCCTGGGAGAAGTTCACAGTCACACCACTGGCTGTCAACAGACCACAAAATAAAAAACAACAGTTTGAACAGTTGTTCCAGAGCACAACTTTAATCTTAGCACTAGGGAGACAGAGGAGGGTGGAATTCTGTGTTTTCCAGGCCAGCTTGGTCTACTTGGTGAGTTTAGTCCAGACACAGCAACACATGAATACAGGACTCAAACACAGCAAACACAGGAATCAAAAAATAACAGCTTGATTTTGAGCCCATGGACTGAGTGTTTTTCTTTGACCAGGAAGACAAAAGATTTCTCTAGATATTTTTTTCTGATATAGATGAGTTATTGTAATTATTTGAAAGATGCTTTCTTTATTATGTTATACCATAATATTTTTCATTGCTTTTCCTTTTTTTCCTCCTGATACAGGTTTAATCTGTGTAGGTTCGGCTGTCCTGAAACTCCCTCAGTGGACCAGAGTGGGAAGGAATTCTCAGCTCCCAAATGCTGGGATTAAATGGTTGTGCCAACACCACTACCACGTGGCTTATAACACCTTTTCTAGCTGTGGAAATACTGTGATCTGTAACATAAAATAGCATGCTGTTCTTTCCCGGCTCTAAGTTGCACATTAAGAACTCAGTAGAAAAACACACATTTCTTTTTTTGAAACAGGGTCTCACCATGATACTCTGGCTGTCCTAGAACTCATTAGGTAGACTAGGTTGGCCTCAAACTCACTGAGAACCACCTGCCTCTGCCTTCCCAGAGGTGGGATTAATGATGTAAATCACCAAATCTTTCAAAGATTCTTTTAAAAGCAATCTATTTATATGACAAAGTGTCAGACGAAAATTTAATAATGGACAAAATGTTTTCTTTTAAATGTTAATGTTTTCAATCATATCCATGGAACTCGCAAAATAATATAATTTCGGATTAAATTCCTTATCCTGACGTTCATTTCATAACAAATATATAAAAGGTCTCTGTGAGTCAAAATCCCTAGTTCTATGTGCCATTCTCTTTAATAGCTAAGAGATTTAGCAAGAAAGTTGGCGTGGAGGAATGTAAATTTGAAGAGTTTTTTTCTTTCCAACACACAAAGAGAACCGACCGTCTTTGCAAACAAAACACATAAATTTAAATGTTCTAGTAGGTCATTTTTATGAGATTATTTTGGCACTCAGACCAATGAAAAATATCAGGATCGTTCGAGTTTAAGTGAGCTAAAATTTACCGACGACGGTAAGACATCCACAGCCGTCTTATGAGCAGCAGAGAAACTGCTTGCCCCTGGTCCCTTCCCGCGGCTCCTCTGAACCTCCTGGGAGGTTCCAGGGTTGCCGCGCTGCTGTCCGGTCACTTTCCCAAGCCGCCTTGTGCTGCGACTGAGGCTCCGGAGATTTCAGATCCTGAAATACCTGCCAGGGTCTCCCTCACCCAGTTCCGGACCACGCAGCTTCCCACAGTGCAAGGCCCAGAGCACCAACAGGGAAGCAGCATTAGGCACTTCCGGCTTTGGCTCCTCAGTCCACTTCCGGGTCCTCTCCCTCACTAGTTTCCCAGCTTCTGTTGGTGTCACTCCTCTAACTCCTCCCACTTGTCCATCATTCCACCTGTACTCACCCAAATAAACTCTAGCACCCTCCCAACTGCTGTTCCTATTAGAGAGTCTCCGCCCATTGAACCGCCCCGCCCACTCCGTCTCAGGCCGCCTTCCACACAGCTCCAGCTGTCAGGCTGCCCTGCACCCGCTCTGCACAGCTCCCCACATGCTTCGATGCTTGCTGCCAGAACTGGATCTAGGGAGACGTTGCACTCAGGTACCTGACCCCCATAGTGAGTTCTGAAACCTGCAGTTAAAAGACAGGCAGCCTAACCTCGGCTTGACTCCCAGCCTCCGGGACTGAGCTCCTTCTGCGCTCTTCTGCTCTAACCACTAGATAATGGTTTTGTGATTTTGGTAACTCAGAAACACATTACGCTTCTGTGACTCACACTAAAGGTGCTTTTTAGATAAAATATGGAATTTTTTTTTAAAAAAATGCAATGGTGAATTCAGAGAATATTGCGTCTCTGATGCATAATAAAAGGAAGGTATTTGGTACCAGCCCTACAAAAGTCAGTGGCTCTGGGAACATTGAGGACAAGGAAAGGGACTTATCAGGGAAAGATGAGGAAGGCTAAGACATGCCATTCTCTAGACTCCATACAGCTGTTGTAATCAGTAACCAACACAACTGTACTTACGTGCGTTGACCTCACCCTAAACCACAATCAGTCTAGGAAAGGGAAAGGCTCACAGGACCCACTCTTTACCTCTCAAATGGTGGCTCTGGGTGGATTGTAGGAAAAGATTCATTGCCTTTAGCTGTCTGTAGTCCTCTGCTGAACCCACCAGACTCCAACACAGCTCCAAACCCACAGTCCACAGTCTCCCTGAAGTCCCTGGTTAATCACAGTTGGTCCCAAGCAAAATGAATAGAGAGAAACATAATAGGGAAATTTGTTGGAATTGTAGACCAGGATAGTGCAGAGGTAGGAGTGTGAATGGGCAGTCTTTGAGGTGTGCATGCACAAACAGAAACAGAATGCAGAATGTGTGCATATACATACATTGGTGTGTGAGTATAAAAAAGCTAATAATAGATTTTTTTTTTTTTACAACGGAGTTTCTCTGTGTAACCCTGGTAGTACCGGAACTAGCTTGCTTCTTTCTTTCTTTCTTTCTTTCTTTCTTTCTTTCTTTCTTTCTTCTTTTCTTTTTTTTTCCTTCCTTCCTTCCTTTTTCTTTTTCCTTTTTTTGAGACAGGTTTCTCTCTAGCTTTGTAGCCTTCGTGGAACTAGATCTTGTAGACCAGGATGGCCTCAAACTCCCAGAGATCTGCTTGCCTCTGCCCCCTGAGTGCTGGTATTAAAGATGTGAGCCACCACTGTATGGTGATCAGAATTTTTAAAAAAATAGATGTATGAATCTGTAGTTTCTTTTTGGTTGTATCGTTTTCTGGTGGTTTTACATATTTATTTATCTATCTATTTATTCATCATTTTTTCTCAAGATAGGGTTTCTCTGTGTAACAGCCCTGGCTCATCTGGAACTCACTTTGATGTCAAGGCTGGCCTCAAACTCGCTGAGATCCACCCACCTCTACCTCTACAATACAGCAGGTACTAAGATGCTCAGTTCGTTATCTGGTGTAACACCACCTAGTATTTAGAGTCAAGAAGTCTTCCTTTCTTGTCAAGAAGTATTTTGAGTAGCAGCTTTGCTGTTAGTTTTTCTCTGCAGTTCTGATAGAATCCTGTCAGTCTAGGCAGTCTAGGCAGAGGTTGTTTAAAGGTGGCAATTTATAACTGCTTTATTTTCATTACTTCTTATAGTTATGTTTACCTTATTTATTTCACATAGTTTAAATTTGGTATGTTACAGTTTTTTATTTCAATTAGAGTTTCCAATTTAGTGTAAGAGAAGTCTTTCAATAAACAAGAGATCCAGTTGATCACACACTTCTGTCAAGTAGACTGTGCCTTGGGTAATTGTCAAGACATGATAACAGGACAGGTCATAATGAAACACACCTTTAATCCTAGCACTTGGGAGGCAGAGGCATAGGCATGTAGATCTATGTGAGTTTAAGATAAGCCTGGTCTACAGAATGAGTTCCAGGTCAGAAAACACAACACAGCAGAACCATGGTTCCAAAAACCACAAAGGAGAAAAACCTGATAAAGAAAAGTTATGTAAAGTTTGGCAAGGCCAAGCAAGCCATTTAACCAGCACTCAGGAGGCATGAGCAAGGGGAACTCGAGTTCAAGGCCAACCAGATCTACATATTGAATCTCAGATGGCTATAAATAGAGACCTTATCTCAAAATAATTAAATTGATCCCTGAGGAATAATCTGAGCCTGTGTTTGTGCCATCTTTTCTGGCCACTCTTTGTTCTAGTTGCAGATTTCGGGTTTTGATGTCCTTTCCAGCAGAGGATTCTGATTTGTGAGTTTACACCTAAATAAATAACCATCTATTTCTCAATTCTGAGCTAGTGTGGGATTTCTTTTAAGCAACCATCTTTAACCAAGAGGAACAAAAAATATTTTATACCTGTCAAGGAAATGTTAATCTTACATGCTGCCCTAGATTCAACCTCAATCATCAGGAATGGAAATGATAAAAATTTTGGTATAGTTGTGGGGGAAAGGAGTTCATACGCTGCTGTGGAGTGAGAACTAGAGAATCAATTTTTGAAATTAGTTCAATGTCTCCCCCAACAATAAATGAATAAATGAAAAGAACTATAGTGTGGCACAAAGCACTGATGTGTGACACTATTCCTGTAAAAACAATGACCACATCTTTTTATTACAGATAAGGAGGAACCAATGACAAGGGTACTCAAAGGAATGAAATTTAGCAGATGGATGTGTTATACTTTGCAGAATTAGGAAATTAATATATGTACACCACACAATTGACAATTATTTAGGTTTTCAGTGAGCAACTGCTTTAAGCTCAGAAAAGGCTGATTTGGTAATCACATATTTATTAGAAGTTTTGGCCATCATGGGTATACCTGCACAAATAAAGACAGATAATGGTCCAGCATATGTCTCTAAGAAAATGGAACAGTTTTTTTTTTTTTTTTGCTTACTACAATAGTAAGTATATTACAGATATACCACACAATCCTACAGGTCAGGCAGTTGTAGAAAGATGAAATTGAACTATAAAGGATATGTTAAACAAACAGAAAGGGATAGAAAATACCCCCAGAAATAAATTACTTAATGCTTTATTAACTTTGAATTTTCTTAATGCTAATGAGAAAGGGACAACAGCAGCAGATAGACATTGGAGAATAGAAAGGTCTTCTGAAGTAAATCAGCCAGTTTATTTCAAGGATGTTCTGACCTCACAATGGAAGCCAGGAGATGTGCTGTTGGGGAAGGTGTTTTGGTCTTGTTTCCACAGGAGAAGAAAAACTATGGATACCATCAAAATTAACAAAGATTTGGTTTGAAAAGGAAAAACCTCCTGAAAAAGAGAAATGACAACTCATCCACAGAGGTAACAACCATACAAATGGAAAGGAAACCTCATAAGGGTTGGGGAAGGGTTCTGTTCTTGTCTTTGCAGAAAAATATACATCTTCAAATATTCAAAAGACCCTGGATATTTGAATGCTGATAGATGAAAAAAATAACTACCCATGAAGAATCATCGATAAAAAGGAACATGATTTATAATGTCAGGTGACTGATACACATACATTTAAACATATATATGTATAAATACACATATATGTGTGTATGCATATATATATGAATA